TTGTTGTTGTTGTTGTTATAAAAAGTTCAGGTTTCGTCTTTCAAAAACTCAGTGACTCTCGGTCTCGCAGCTGCTACGAGTATGAGCATGCTAGAGCACCGGTCCGAGCCTTTTCTCGCAATTAAGGGAAGCAACAGCTGCAATAGTGAGTGTGGGGAAAAGCATCTAGAACTACAGTTATTTCCCTTGAATTTCTAGCCCAATTTAGAACACTCCCGAGTGAAGGGGTGAATTTTAGACGAATTTTTCTGCTTTCTTTGTGTAAACAGTTACGTTACATTATGTAACTTTTATGGCGAAAAATCTCCGAAATTCACAAAACAAAATAATCCAAATCCTACTTCATTTTCACAAAGTGCATCCACTTGTTTTCATCACGTTGGCAAAAGCATAGCTTTCACTTCATAACTTTGGTCAGGGTAATTATTATTTGTTAAATACCCGTAACATGGGTGGGCTCGGGCTTTATGGCCGGATTACATTAATCAAAACTGAAAAGGAGTTGGTGAGTTTTAACGGGTATGGAATTCCATTGCTTAATGTGAATGCCATTAAAATTATACCTAGATATTAAGCCCATTGGTCTGGTGACTTCAAATTCGACAGTCCTAGTTTTAAACGAGGTGTGTGATTTAGAGAAAAAAAATCATTATAATTTGATAATTAATTTGACTCACCAGTTGAGCTGGCTCGCTTCATCGCTCAGATGTTTACAGTCAAAAAGGCGCTTGCTCTTTTACTTTTTATGTTTATTTTTATATAAAAGGCCATGCTAATTTTTCTATCGACTCTTTACTTAATGACTGAGCTTGTGAGAGTGGCCAGTTCTGCCAGGTCTTGATAACATCTTGATAACGACTCCGATCAATCTTACAATTTCGATCCAGTAAACAGAACATTAATTAGTTTCTAACCTCACGGTCTTAGTAACTCAAAACGGGCAAAAAATGTCTGATAGAACTTTGCATTTCTAAGGTAGGGAACTGTCGCTGAGGGACATCATAGAGTATTTGTTGTGGGTTATGTCCCTTCAATTTTTTCTTCGGTGGTAAAAGGGATGTAACTGTGTCATAAAGTGTCTTTGGATGGCTTTCAAATTTTAACTTGACCACAGTCAAGTGATGTATGTATGTATGTATGTATGTATGTATGTATGTATGTATGTATGTATGTATGTTTGTCTGTCTTAATTGTGTTGATGGAAGCATGAACCATTCACAAGGGACAATGAAAGGAAACTCAAAATTTTAACTTGTCCACAGTCGAGGGATGGAAGTCTGTCTTAATTGACAGTGTTTATGTGGGCGTAGGGCATTCACAATGACGTATGGAATGACACTTACATTTTAACTTTTTTTCAGTCACAAGGGATGTCTGTCTGTTTGTCTGTCTGTCTGTCTGTCTGCCTGTCTGTCTGTAACAATAAAAAATGGAATTACACTTCAATTCTAACCTGCCAACAGTCCAGAGGATGGAATCATATGTCTGTCTGTCTGTCTGTCTGTCTGTCTGTCTGTCTGTCTGTCTGTCTGTCTGTCTGTCTGTCTGTCACAATAAACAATGGACTGACGCTCAGTTTATCACCTGCCCACAGTCTCGAGGATGGAAACACCTGTCGTGCTTCATGAAGATGGTGGAGACGTGCCAGTCTCGCGACATGACCTTTGTCAAGTCCATTCGCTTCCGGGTTGCATGGGCTGAAGCGCTATTGGAGAAATATCCTGATTTCAAGATGCTCTATCTACTCAGGTAATTTTGTTGTTGTTGCTGTTGTTGTTGTTGTTGTTGTTGTTGTTGTTGTTGTTGTTGTTGCTGAGGTAGGATTGAGGGGTGCTTGCAATTGGGAGGTTTTGCTTCTTTTCTTTCCTTCTGTATATTTTTTGGATCTTTAATAAGAAAAAGTTTTACGGCGCTGACTACTGCAAAAGGTCACATGAGTTAAGTTGATATCGCTGGTCCGAAAGCTATGTCGCTATCTCAGAATTACAAAGTTCTATCTACTCTGTACCTAGCTTTGAGAAATTTGACATCAAACATTTTGAGTTTCACAACATGTCAAGATTTTACGAAAGCAATTCTTTGAATATCTTGATAACGACTCCGAATAATTTCACGATTTTGATATATCAGATAGAATATTTGGATTCTAATTTCATGGTCTTAGTAACTGAGACCCGCCTAAATGTCAGATAGAACTTTGTAATTCTAAGGTTGCGATGTGTCTATACAGTCAGGGAGACTTAAGGGAACTGGCACCTGTGGTGTACAAGTTGTTCTCTTAACCGAGAACGCAAAAGATGTGAGTTCGATTCCTGTGCACCCCCGTCTATCAGCTGGGACGTTATATTATTCTAAATTGTCTGGATGACCCTCACGGTCAAGATCGAAGAAGCTCGCTTACTAAATGTTCTAAATAGTGTAGGTGGGGATTTACAGTCACAAAAATGGTATGTTCAGACAGTATGTTGTATTAGGCTCACATAAGCTCCTTCAGCTGCCTCTTAGATTATCGATCTACTCTTGTGTCACGGGATAAGTTAAACGCGCTGATGACTATACACTGCTGAGCATAGCAAACAAATTAGTCATGTTTTGATATTCTGCAATACACACATCTCTCTCTCTCTCTCTCTCTCTCTTTCTCTCTCTCTCTCTCTCTCT